ATTTATTGTTAGGATCTCTCGGCGAACGATAATACGTCGTTGGGATTAATCGACGACTATTTTGTACTGAAGCGAAGACAAGGTGTGAAAAATCAATTTTCAAAGATTGCCTCAATCAAATTTTCCAACCCTCGAAACTTGCGAGTTTGAAGAAACTCATTTACCGAAATTGGAGAGTTTCGAAACACATCTCGTTTTCCAATTCGATTCGTCCGATTCGAACGATCTCTCGAAAGGGCAAACTCACGACCCGATGTATTTGTTCTTTCCGCGACGCGAAGGAAAATCTCGTGTAAGAATACGTACACGCGTACTCTACGAGTGTACGTATACGATAACGAAAGATTGATGACCACGAATTAACCCAACGAATAGCGATTATCGACCAAGCAACGAGGAAATACATCGTGGATCGTTAATTTCGAAAGCCACGTGTGTTCGGCTCGCGAAGGAGTAGCGTTCGATTGGACGGACGATAACTATTACATTTTTTCGTCGCTTTTCGCTCGAGTCTCGATGCGACGACTATCGTTGCGTAAACCCTCTTACATTATTTATTCATTAAGGGCTCGACCCTAAATTACTCTCAATTAATCTCGCACGTCCATGTATTATCAATTTGAAAATGAAACAACGACGACGAGAATCATTGACACGTAATCAACGACACGTATGCGTGCTTGTAGATATATGCCTCGTCCGTAGGTATATATGTCAATTTTGCATTCGAAAACGGAAGCGTAGCTGTAAGCGCGACAAGATACAACGGAAATTGGATTTCCCTGATGCGAGTTAGACTCGATACGATACGAAATTCTTCGATGCTTTAGGGAAGAGATCGTAGATCGACCGGAAGTTGTTCGTTTCAGATCGAGACTATATATAAAAGGCGGTAAAAGAGAAAATATATCGTCGTTGGAAGATGAGGGAGGAATCGTGACGAAGCCGACCCAAATACATACTGGTTGTGCGTGGTATGCGAATCGTGTATTTGGTATTCGTAACGGGTGGGGTGGGGAGAGAGGGTAAATCGAGGCGGTCACGATTAAACGGCGATTTAGCAGCGAGAATACAGCGACAAGCGAGTAAAATAATGTAAATCGCTAGTCGTTAGCCCTTTTGAAGCCGTTTGACTGCCATTGTTTCAGGGTTACGTCAGGGTTTATACAGGTAATTATGTAGGTAAACGGGGAAACGAAACAGCTCGGTTTCTAGCTGTTCATGAAATATCCCACGTTCTTACGTCCTTCTTCTTTCTTGGTTTCTTGGTTAACAAGAATTAATGCCATTTACAGTTTTCTTTTTTTCTGTTGACGCATGAAATAAACAAGAAGTCAAATAAATGAATATCTTACTTACTAATCTTACGTTACGATTCTCTTAAATCTATGTACATATGTATGTATCCAGTCAACGTAAGTACATACAATGAGTAAAACATTACGAGTTAAAGCGCGTAAACGTTTCGAGTCAAGCTTTGTTTTCCGTCACGCTCGTTCGTGATGACTAAGAGCAGGGCGACGTGCCTATCTTAATTTTGATATCCTACCTACGATCGCCAAAGGTCGCATGTTGAATGGCATATCGCGTGGCGGCTAAACTTTGCTCGACGTAGTCGAATATATTGTATTCTATCTCTATCCATGTAATTATAATTAAGAAACGAAGCATCGTGCGCATTGAAAATAAACGATAAGACTCACCTGCTGTTAACGTTCTCGTACGCCGGCAGTTGCGATGTGCGCGCGCAAAAAGAAAAAAGAAAAAAAAAAGAATAAGGAGAGTCGACGAACGAGTGTGTACTCACCTGAAACAAAGAAGACAAAATATTGAGATAAGATTTAACGTAATTAGGCATTCGTCTAGGATACTAGTTTTCATTGAATTCGATGGAGAGGTTAAAGGCATCGTTCGCAAACGTCTGTTCGAAGTAAAAGGAAAATTGCTGTAAAATGCGAGGAGAGTAGTGGCGAGTAAAGGAGGCCAAGAACAACGGGGCTCGCTCGCGCAGTAACTTCGGAGAAAATGAGAGCGCGTTGAACGAGAAGGAGTAGAATGGATAGGAAGAACCTGGCTGCGGCTATTATTTGCAATTAGTCGCGTTCAAACGTGCTGCCATGCGTGCAACAATACGCGCCGGTAAATGCGGTAGAGTGTGAGCGAGAATGAGAAGTGAGACGGCCGAGAGAAAAGCCTGCTGGAGACTTTAATTATTTCGTCGTTTCTCATGAATAAATATGAGTCTTGAGTGTGACGCCAAAAATGTCTGCAAGAGCGTGAGCCGAAGCAGTACCGGACGGTACTGCGAACGGAGCATCAGCAGACAATGCCAGGAGAGAAAGAACGAGAGAAACAGAGACAGCAGTTTTATTCCATTAGCGAGATCTTTCATCGGCGCGTTGCCACATCCCTCGCGAAATCTTTAAACGTTCTTCGTTTCTCTTGAAAATACGACAGTTACTGCCCCGTTAAACGTTCCGCGATGAAATTTACGATTATCGTGATCGCCTTGACATAAAAGTGGAAACGCGGGTAAAACGACTCAGCGATTTCTAATCTTATCGACGTGGTCGTAAGGGTAAACTGCACGAACAAAGAGAGGAAAATAATAAAAATAATAGCAAATAGAAGGTTAGAGACCGCGCGTCGTTCTCGCCTGAAACGTCGTTTGGGTTCAGCGTCTTTTTAGCGGGATACTTTCCCGCCAAACGAACGATTATTGTTAATTAGAAACCGTTTGCGCTGTGTTGCTCGTTAACGCTCAAAACGGTCGCTCGATGCGAAAAGGAATTTTCGTAGCGCGCAGAGAAGGAAGACAATGTCCGTGCGTTACGACGAGAAAGTTGGAGGAGAAGGAAACGGTCGTAAGCGAAATGAATTTCCTTATGTACTCCTCGCAGTTAGAACGGCCGAACGTACCGATTGACTTCGTTCCAACCTCGCATAATCTCTGGTAGACGAGAAACGCCTCTGGGTTTCGCCTAGTTGCGCTTTAACTCCTCAGGGCTGAATCGTGAAAAGAGAAGAAAGCCCACGGAGATATCTACGGGAATACCGAGTATCTGGAAACGCAATGAGAACTAAGATAGGAGACAATGGGGAAATCCGAGTCCCTGGAAAGCATCTTCGGAGCTATCGCGTCTCTTCTCCCTCTATTACAGATTTTCAACTCTATTTTTTGCTATTTCTGCTTTTATGCGTACAAAACTTTTTACGCGCTCTTGCAATTTCATATAATATCCTTGACGCAAGAAATGAAGAAAATGCGCAATATAAATACTTTCTTCCTTTTTCAATCGTCTTTTCGCACGTTGCTAGATGGCAAGCGTTAATTACATGTAAAATTCGAAAAAGGAACGCGCGAGAAACGTCGCTTTGACGTTTTTTTTCTTCTTCTTTCTTGTATTTACGAAACTGAAAGTAGCGTTTCGTCGTCGTTTTTCTCGACGCTTTTAATCGCGCTAAAGCGAGTAGAAACGCAGTAAAAAGAACGTTTCGCTGGTGTTGCAAAGCGAAAAATGCGCGTACGTAATAATGCCGAGCATGTATAATCGGTCGTAAACGGTGTTGGTAGCTACTCGTTGCAACCTAGCCAACGAGGAATTAATTTCTCTATCCTTTTCTCGAAATTCCAAAGAATTATTACGAGAAAATTTTCTTTTAATTCGAGAGAAAGAAAATAAATGAGAGCGCGCGTTTTCATGGGAACGGTAGTTTTTATTTTTCACCTCGAGAGCCAACCTACCTCGACGATAGATATAAACTGAGCGAGAATCAAAGAAGGGAATCGCCCTGTGTCTGATTAAAATTGATAAAGTTTAATCAAATTCTCGCGTGAAGTTGCACAAGTCGTATTTTCGAAGAAAATACGAGAAGCCCATTAATGAATGGCTTTAATGAATGGCGAGAATATTAACGAGGACTCGAGGGATTGCAATGAAAAAGAAAAAGAGCAAAAAAAGAGCTTTTGGTTAACCGCAAAGTACATTCGATTCTCCATCGATACGTCGTCGAGACCATTTTTGAATACAATCGTAAAGGTCATAAAGTTGAAAAGCTATTAAAATATTTGGTATCGTCGCCCGACGCTCGTTTCTACGCGTTTATCGCCAATGGACAAAACTTTTCAGGATAGAACATTTTCTCTTCGGCTATGCAGGAAATCCTTCTCCGGAGATAAATCAACGTTGTTCCTTTTCTTTTCGAAACATGGAAATGGTTAAAGTGCGAAAGCTTGACGGGACATAGGTACGAAGGTCTCGAAAAAGTACCTACTATAAAAAAGACCAGAAATGGGTGCGGCTAGAAAAAAGAGATGGGTTTGTTGGTCGAATCTTTCTTGTTATATTTCACGCTGCCCGTATCTTCCTTTACTCGCCACCCGTATTTGCGTTTACTTGCAACCAGCTTCGCCGTGATAAATCACAGCTCGAAGGAGAGCAAAATGTTTGTAGGAAAGTACGGTGCGAGCCAAAAATAAAGTACGATTCCTTTCGTCCCATGAAAACCGATATGTTCTTCGGGGAAAACCTATGTATCCTATTCCATGGATATTTTACAGAGTACCTATCTCTTATAGTAGATATAACACTTTATACGATAACATAAACTCAACCGGCTCGTTGGAATAAAATAATATCTTCTCTGGATCTAACGCATCAAAGTTTTTTTCCTCTTTTGTTTTTTTCTTTTTTTTTTTGAAATTTATGAATTATGTCACTATGAAGTATCGGAATACATATAATAGACTCGTTGAGCAAGAAGTAAAAAAGAACAAATATTTTCTATAATTTTCATCTTCTAAAATGGGTATGAAAAATGATGAGAAGCAGGGTGAAACGATCCTACAAAAAAATATGCAAATTTTTAACAGCATCCTGTAGCAGGTACAGCTATAATAACGTAGCGAATTTTTCGCCAAAGAACTTGCATTCGGAAGAATATAATTCTAGTGGCATTTTCTTGGCACACTGACTTTTTCTCTCTTTTTTCTTTTCCAGCTTTCATTTTACGATCGAGGAGGAATTTAAATACGAACAATCACGGCGCTTCGAGCGGAACTCTAAACGGAAAGTGGAAATGAAAGAAAAGAACGAGTTGGTCCTACCAAAAAAATATATATAGAGCTTCGAGGAGAAAGCTACGAGAAAATCGTCATACCGTTATAAATCTTTCGACGAGAGTAAGAACTTTATACGACGATCAACTTAATAATATCTCTTCAAGATTTACGAGAAATCGTGCGTAAACCAAATTTTGTATTATTAATATAGTATGAGAAGAAGAAGAATGTGCTTACGTGCCACTTTTCGCTGAAGGTTAAATCGACGGTGAATTCTAGAGAGAAAGAGAGAGAGAGAGAGAGAGAAAGAGAATCGACCTTTCGCAAGCCGAGAAGCATCCGACGAATCATTTATGAATCACGTACTTACAAGACTCGATAGGAGGCTTCGTACGATTCGAACAACTCTATCTTTCTCTCCAACTTTCTTACACTTTTTCTTTTACAACACACGCGAACGATATACTCGATCACTTTTCATCTTCCAAAGAAGAAGAAGAAGAAAAAGAAGAAGAAGAAGAAGAAGAAGAAGAAGAAGAAGGAACCACTTCGAGAGATACGTTCGAAAATCTTTCAGGAATCAAAAAATATCAAGAGTGGGCAAAATAAAAAAGTTTAACTTTACTTTGTTTCCTTTTTCCAACTTTCAGCAACATACATACATACGTAGAGAGGAGCGCGATAAGCTCGTTCGAATTTCTCGTATGGACAAAGTTAGCATTTTCTCCGTAAAAAGCTTCCTCCTAAGGAAAGCATTCGAGAGAGCTTCCAAGGAACATTGTTTCGGAAAACGGAGTTATAAGAGAGACAACGATAATACCGTTGAAAGACAATGGAAGACGTTGATGGACTAGGACACTGCTAACCTCTTATACGATAGTCAGCAAGCTAGCTGAATGTACCATGAATATTTCAAGTTCGGTAAGTGTCTACTGCCACAACTATACAGTGTATTTCTAGTTTAACGAGATGTTGCAAACAGCAAACGTCTATAATACCTTATAGTCCGGCTTGTCTTTCGGCATTTCGTCGGCTCTAGTTAGACGACAGTCGATGATACTATTCTTGTCTCGTTAAGCACACTGCTGTAAGATATATCCGACTAGTTTCCCGACGAATTTCAACTTTGCAATAACTCGTGAGAAAATTAGAAAATCGATACAATACAGTAGTATCATGTCCACGTACTTAAACGTGCAAATATCGGTTCGATCGGGAAGAAAATAATTGAAAAATTGGAGCGTAAGAACGAGGGAAAGTCGATTATAAAACGAATGTTGCCAACCAAGAGGAATGCTCGTCCAAGTAATGTAGTTGACATTTGAAATGATTAAATTTCCATGAATTTTCACGCTTATCTTTAACACGAATGTCTAGTCCGAATAGATACGTAATGTGTCCTTCCTGTAACACCGAGATTAGATTATTTCGAAATATCGCTCGAGGCTGGTTATCGTAATTGGAAAATATGTTAAGGCTTGTCTTATTTTTTTTTTTTCCCCTGTTTATCTTGGATTATTATATTTTTCTCAAAACGCTTGATTTTTACGACAACCAGTGGACGTTACCAGTACGTAGATCCGCAATTTATTCGGAATGGTTAGAGAAAGAGAGCGAAATATAGGCAGCGAGGATAAAATCGACGTGTGGGCTTTTTAATCTTACAAGATTAATCGGTTAAACCGAGAGATTTTCCTGCCTCGATAAAAGAGCCGAACGTATAAACTTTGGTAGAAATGTCAAGCGACTTCCTAGAAAAGGCCCATTACGTAAATGCGTATTCTTATATATCATTAGCTCGGCGCAATATTTCATTAGATCTTAAATCGATCTTTACGAGAGGCGTTATATTATCCTAGCTGCAGTAACGCAGAAGGAAGAAAGCCATTGTGGAACGATTTAACGGACAAATTGGTAAGTCCAAATATAATCGACGGGCAGCGAATGGTACGCGTTAGAAATCTAATCCTTCGAAACTTACGATCACCCTCTTGATGGCGTTAGGACTAAAGACCATCATTCGACGTTGCTTCTTGATGAGCCTGCTAAGCCGTTGAGTCCTTTGGGCGCATGTAAGCGTTTTTCCGTTCAATTGAAAATCGTCTACAAGTTCATCCTCGAGGTCGTTTGCATCCTTCTCGATCCGAGGACTATGCCTGAGCGTAACCGTGCTAAGCGGTACCGCTTTGGCGACGAGACTCTCGCTTCTAACGCTCCAATTGGAACCACCGTACTTCTTCAGATTCATCAGATCACCTATGCTACCTCTGACCTGACTGGTACACAGCTGAAGATTCGTTCTCGAGAGAGCCGGGGAGTGAGGAAGAGACTCGGAACACTTTTCGATCGATCTAACGACGTCCGGTAAGATCGACTTGTTCTGAAGTTTGTCCAAATCTGAGAGGGACGATCCACGACGAATCCTGGCTCTGGGCAAAGTCGCTTTTTCTTTTGCAATTTTTTCTTTCTCACGATTCACGCTCTTGGAGGATAAGGAAGACTTCATGGCGAATAGACCCGCCTTCAATGGAAAGAGCAATGCCCACTCGGTCGACTTTTCGCGAGTCTCCATTTTCACCGACCTTTTTTACCTTTCTTCTTCTCAATAAGAAGAGTTCCGTGTCTTCGTATAACTTCGAGAAATATTATAATTCTGCTCGAGACTCGAAAACAGGAAAGAGAACTCTCGTTTAAGCGTTAAATTGGAACGATAACGCGCCATCCGGTTTGCGGACCTTCCGCTCGGTCGTTATCGTGCTCCCAATGAAGAAACCGGAAGAACTTACTTCGGTTGTATAATAAAAAACAAACGACTAGAAATTCAACCAAAGAGATTCTTTTTGATAACAGCAGCTCAAAGTCTTTGCCTCTTTCGATTCGACGAAGCTCTCTTTTCAAGAAAACGTTCTCTTTACCTTCCTTCCATTTACACGTCCCTTTCCTAAGAACGTTTCTTCGAGCGACATCTTTAAGGCCGATACTTTAGTTTCTTTAGAAAGAGAGAAGCGTTTCTAAAACTCAACGTTTCCGGCTTTCCTGGTTAACGTTCTCAGCCACGCCAACTTGTTGCCTCGTAGACGTTGCGCACGGATTTCTCAGTATAAAGGAATAAACCTCGATGCGAGCCCATAAGGAGATCCTTCTTGGTCGGCAACTTCGATGAGACTCGATGAGGCTGATAGATCGGCGTGCGGGCTTAGGAGATCGCCTCGTAATGGTAAAGAAGGGTGTTATACGGAGCCTGTGACGGACCTCTCGGTGGTATTTTCACTTAAGTTAACACGACCCCCTGCGAGGATGTACTCTTTGCAGACCGTCGACGACACTTCCGTCTAATAAAAGCCTAATAACGATCGATAGAAACGCCTAGCCTCCTTTCGTGCTTGACCAAGTCGAAGGATCAAGTACGAGGAAAAGCGAAGCGGTAAGTATAGTTAAAACGAATCGACGGTTGTTTTGCTTTGCGAACTCGACAGACGAAGAAACGATTCGATACTGAGAGGAAAATCGGATTTGCTTTGCTCTAAACGGCAAACGAGCTAGCCGTGATAACCGAATGGCGGTAAGCGAAGACCTTGCAGCGAAGGTGGTATCGCTTGTTGTCGCTACGTACTCGTCGTCGTCGTCGTCGTCGTCGTCGTCGTCGTCGTCGTCGTCGTCGTCGTCGTCGTCGTCGTCATCGCTGCTCGCAATCGCAATCGTCATACGGGTTTCCGATTACGCATGATACGGACAGGAAGTTTGCCCTACATAGATTATACTCCCACGAGGTTTTTTTATCGCGAAACCAAAGAAAAATGTAGAATTTGGATGCAAAAGAGACCAAGAGGATGCGTTTCAATGAAAGAATTTCTGAAGAAAAAATTGCAGTTAAATAAAAAAATCAAAAAGTACGTTGGCATAATCAACTTGGGAAAATACGTTAGTTCAGTCGACCATTTTTCTCTACAGCTTATATTTTTCGTATTGTCTCAAGCACGAAGGAAAAAAAAGAAAAAAATGATGGGTCATCGTGAACGAACGTAGATCATTTTCCCGATGGAATTTGAAAAGAGAGAAGAGGTCGACGAACGAGCCTTCCGAGAATTCGAATAAAATGCAAAACGAGACACGGTCGAGCATACGAACGGCCGTTTTTGCGCGAATAATAAAAATACGATGGAAAGAATGAGAAGCGCCTGGATTACTCAGGAACGCACAAAGATCTATGCTGATGCAAAAGCGAGAAAAGTCAAGAATTAATTAATGAATAGCACCAGAGAAGCTTATCGTATATTTGTCAATGAATCATTCAATGAAATCCCATATCATAGTTATGAAAGGGAAATATCGTAGGTAAGCGTGTGATGGGATTTATAAATTTCGTCGTTTAACGACATATAACGATAACACCGTACGCTCTTTCTCAACAATTTGTATTAATAACGTTAAGTCGGTAATGAGAATTTTTTTTTTGATCGTAATAGGTCTCGCTACGACGATCGTAACGAATGGGTTATCGCTTATCTCAAGGGGGAGGATGGCGGGAGGGGGGAGCTTGATTAAACGATCGACCACTGAAAACCGATATAAAAACTATAATTATGATAGCGAAGAAGGAGAAGGATGGGGGAGGAGAAGGAGAATTAGAGGATATATTTATTTCGAAATCGCATATTTCAGGGCGATCCGGCGGAATTCAGTTGCGAAAAATTTCCGGTTATTGTAATTATTCCAGAATATTGCCTTCCCGGTACTATTTCGACCATTTTGCAACGAACGAACGTACAAACCGAATTCGTGGTTGTCCTCTTTGGTGCGCGACGCGGCTTAAGCTTAATCTATTTCGTTCCTTCCGGCCCCTATCCCCGAATTCGCTCATTTACATTTTCTCTCGCACACAATAACGTTTCTCAAACGTACAATCGTCTATCGTGGCAACCAAGAGTGCAGCAGGTGCGTACTCGGGAAACCACGATTGGGCGACACGATTTGGTTGATACGATTGAAAGAGGCGAATTGGGCGACACGTTTGCGTTAATGGAAGTTTCGTGTAAGCCAACGTTAATTCACAGCTGCGACTTCGACGAGCGCTAGATTTTCAAGGTGACGACGCGACTCGAACCTTCCTCTTCTCCGTATATCTCCCTTTTTTGCGATAAACGCGAACACGACTTCGACCTTTTCACGCTTCGTTCGCTTTTTATTCATTCGCCGTGCGAGTAACGAAAATCAGTCCTATACGATAAAAGCTTCAAGGTCGCTTTTAAACGGGCAATGGGATAAAAGAGAATTGGTATTGGCGTTTGCGAAAGAAATCGTTAGAGATTAATTAAGACGGATTATGACGTATTATAAGTTCGAACGGTGCAAAAGCTCGTTCGTTCGTGCGACCGATAGATCGATAGTTGCACCGCGAACCAAGCAATTCGTCGTGACTCGCTCCGGTAAGAGGTCGTAATAGTCGTGATGCGAGCTTCCATCCTTGAACGAAAAGGTACACGAACGATAAATCGTAGATAGTGAGAGGGAGAAGAGGATGTGCCATTCTACCAGTGAGCTACCGTGACAAATCGATGGGTGTTGCCCAAAGGTAACACAATCGACAAGGCCACTTTTGTGTTCTCGAAGGACTATCAGAGATGCGGGCACGGTGGCGGTATCGAGCGACGCATCTCTTTTGTAAGGTCGAACAGGGAGGTCGATGTACCCGTGACGTTTCAGCGAGAGCGAAAGTATTTTCCCAAGATACGTCTTTCGAATACAATTAATATCAGGCAGGAGTAAACGTTCGAGATGCGTTCGTTTTTGGCTTCTTACCAGGAAGACCGGAAGAAGAACTTTTGTTCGATTCTTTTTAAAATAACTCGATAATTGTTCGCGTATTATCGGCATAACGTTAGCTTTGACGAGTAATTCGAGCGTTAACGGTGGTGCCTTTTAAACAGGAATCTTCACGGGCAAATTATTTATAGGGAAAAGTTTGTCGAAGGTCAGAGGTGTGCGATCGCGTAGGGCGGAATAAATACTCACGTTCAATTGCATGATGATCTTGTTATAGGCCCAGTGCCAACGTTGCCGTGGTGTCATCTTTATCTCCGGCCGTTCCTTAAGTTGCGTTGGAACCGGCACGGCACCGACCATCTCCAAAAGTTCCTCGTCGGGCGGTGGTTCCGGTGGACTTCGCGGTGGCGTATCCATTTGAACGCTCTCCTCCAATGACGCTTGCTTCGTTATACTCCCTAGAATAATATCGGCTTTCTATAGGCATCTTTCTCGTACCTGGATTGATCGGTTACGAATAGGAATAATAAAAGTGAACTACTTACCGCGTGGACTGTCGATATGCGACAACGGTGGTGAAGACGTCTTGTACGCATCGGCCAACGAGTCCTCTCGTGAGCTACGAATCATTGCTTCCTCTCCGCGTTCGTACCTATGAGACAATTCGCAAGGATGAAAATCAAAGTAAAGGATGAAATCACAATTGAAACCACGATATTTACCTGTCGAGAGTTTCGTCCCTCATTTTGTACTCTCCGTTGACCTGATTGCTCAGCGTAATCTCGCTCTCGTCAATCGTCTCCTGATCCTTGAAGTAACCTCTCTGATAACTCTCGGCTCTTGTTATTGGCTGAGGAGCGCTGAAATTTTGCGCGTAACCGGTCCCTCTATTCTGATACGAATCGGTTCTCGTTAGAGGCGGCTTGAAAGGCGGCTCCTGCGTGACGGAAGATACGGATTCCTTTCTGGTAGGCTGAGCGTAAGATCCTCTTCTACTGTACGACTCATCGGGGAAATGATCGGAGGCGTAAGAATCGCCTCTCGTCAGTTTGGGCTTTTGACTCGAATGTTGACTCGAATGTTGACTGAGCTGACTCTGATGGGACAATTGGGAATCCTTTCTCTGTGGCTCCGTCGGAATGATTTCGGGATACTCCTCGTCCTCGATCGCTTCTTCCAGATACGATTCCGTTCGAGCTAATCGTTTGCCATTTGTCGCAGCGGACGTAGAATGAACCGTCGCCGTAACCGTGATGATGCTGCTACTACTAACGTGATTATCCATACTCGCTACGTGATTTACCATACTGGTAAGTGGCTGCGTCGTACTCTGAGGCGAGTCGACCAATGTGGCCGCGGCAGGACTAGAGTCACCCGCGGTCGAGTACTCGCTATAAGCTTTCCTAGGTTGACTACTCTCGACGGAGCTCACGGCCGTTTCGAAGGAATCCTTTAATTCGTCGTCCCTCGATTCCAGCGAGTCCGTGTTTTGTTGCAAAAGTGGACTGGGCTCGCGCTTACCGAGCTTCTTTCTCCTAGACGCACCTATCTGCGATACTTGCTCGTTTTCCTGATTGTACAAGTATTCCGACTCGCTAGACTGATAACCGTTCGTTTTTGTTTGGCCCTTCGGCGTGGTAACGGAAAGTTCCGGCACTTCGCTTTGTCTCCTTTCCGTAATAGCGACTGGTCCATCCTTGTAACGTTCCTCGTAAGAATCCTGATAAGATTCCTGATAGGATTCTTGATAAGAATCCGGATATACGGATTCGTCGTATTGCTCCTCCTGATAATTTTCATATCGATTTTGATAATCATTTTGATACGTCGTCGGTACGGTCTCCTCTTTCGTATAAGGGACCTCGTAATTCGTATAATCGCCTTGCTGTTGCTTAATATAAGCATCCTGATAATTATCTTGAGTCGTAACAGGCACTTCATTGTACGTATTATCTTGATAAGTATTTTGATAATCGTTAGACGTACTGATATTGTACTCGGAATCGTATTGCTGATATTGATTGTATGCATTCGACACGTTATTCTGATCGTAGACGGTCGAAGGTACGTAACCATCGTACTGTTTTTGATAACTATCCTCCTGATTATAGGTCTCTTGATATTCTACGTTGTTCCGATCATAATTCTCAACTTGATAATTGTTCTCAATTATCATGTCCTGGCCCTTGTCGTACCGATCGTTCGAAATATTCGTATACTGATCGTTAGGTAGAACGGTGTATTGGTCGTTCGCTTGGCTCGCATTAGGATACGTCGTGTCCTCGTACGTTTTCTGATAAATATCTACATTCTTGTCTTGCACGTACGATTGCCGATACTCGTCCTTGTACGAGTTTTGCACATAGGATTGATCGTAGGCGTCTTGCGTCTGCGAATCTTGCCGATACGCGTACGTATCGTCGAGCTGGCCCACGTAAGTGCTAGCATATTGATTGTCCTGGCTAACGTCGGTATAACGATTCTTGCCAGAAATGTGCGGCGGCGCCTGATCGAGAGAATCCTGGTGCGTGGCGTACAGGTTCGCGGGGTAAGAGTTGTCTTGCGGCAAATTATCCTGACTGCGATAAGCGTAATTATAGTCCTCGTTGTAGTCAGACTTGTAATAGCTCTCCTCGGAGGGCGTTCTAGTCTTTGGCAGTTGCCTGCTCGGCGTAGCAGGTAGAGAGGCGAGTTTACGGTTAACGACGACGTTGCTCGGTTTGGTCGGTGTCGGAGGTAACTTCTTGCCGGTTCCTTCCTGGCGAGAGATTGGACGTTGCTGCGGCTGAATTGCTTTTCTACGACGACCGTGACCGCTATCGGAAAGGGAACGAAAAAATGTATCAGTATTAGGACGCGGCGGACGAGGATATACTTTATCCTGGCCATATTAGTAGTCCATACCTGTAGTCCAATTCCTCCGACTCGTAACTACGTTGCCTGATGACCGTCGGCCTGTAATCGGGTCGATGAATACCGATACTCGATGCGGGCCTTTGCGGAAGCGTTTTCCTATTTCGTTTGTTCTCGTAATAAGTGCTCGTACCCGAATACCATTTCCCTCCGCTGTCCCATTGTCTGTCCTCGTCGTCCTGACCATACCTAAAACGACCGAGGAACGATAAGAAGAGAGAAAAAGACGAGAGAGAACTTATTTATCATTGGATAATGACAATGGCTCACCTTTCGTCTTGATAATCTAATCCGGTTATAGCGTCGTAATACTCGTTATACCTTATGTCCGTTTGACATTCCGGATAAGTGGCGTTCATCTTGCTCGTTCTACCGTCGCTGCTATAGCCATCGGTGAAGTACGAATGCTCGTCGTAGAGGGTCATCTGTCTTTCCAAGGACGGCCGTCTGTGAGCTGCATAGAATTTGATTTTAACGCAAGAGTCATTGTGATTCCTTTCGATTGTTGGATCGTTTACCTCTTCTTCGCGACGTAGTCGTCGTTGAACTTGGGTAGTACTCGGTGTCGCTGTAAATTCTCGTATCGTCGAGCCGCGTACCGTGATAATCGTAGCCCTCGCTGTACCAACCATCTTGACTGAAATAACGTATCAACTTTTTAAATTCCGACGTTTTCCAAATACAAAGGATAGACTCGCTCGAATACGAGCGATAGGTAAGTAGATCGTGATGGACGGATGTCGAAAAGGATGTGGTGTGATCTATGCGCGCGCGCGCGCAATACGTGCATGCAAATTCTTTCGCCGTAGCTCGATCTTACTTTACGTTGAAGGAAACGTTAAGTGGGGCCGAGCCATCGGTCGCGTGGTAAAAGCAAAATAAACGATCGCAGGTGCGAACTAATCGAGTCTACGAGGCACGAACTTAGTATGAACCGTGATAATGAATCGTGATGAAACGAGGTGTATAATATTCGACGCGAGCTTGTTCGATTACGACTTGTGTATGACGACGACGACGACGACGACGACGACGACGAAGACGAAGACGAAGACGATGATGTGTGATAGACTCTGTGGGATCTCTAATATTCTCACGACTTTTTCAGACTTTATACGTTTCGTACCTGTCCTCGTAATCCCATGTGTGCTTCCGTCGTCTGAATCAGGAAAAGAAATAATAGACGACATTTTTTTAGGCACGCACATATATTCTTAATTTCAAATCTGTAGTGTGGCATAAAAAAAGTGTAGAGTTCGATCGATATTCCGATCCATAACGTATTCTGCGAATTCTCGTTTGTTATTTTCCACGTTAAATTTTGCATCTGCTTAAATACCTGTATTCTTTGTAATGTCTCGGTCTACTATTATAGAAGAGTGGCTCGGAACATTCTGAAGAATGCTGTAGGGAATATCGCTGAGGTGGACCTTCCTCGGGATATGGCTCGTCGTATCTCGGACTATGACTTTGACTGGCATAACCACCGCCGTAACAAACGCTGCCGACTATTCGTCCACCGACCGTCGTTGGAATCTGCCAAAAAATATTATATTCTATTATTTATACGTACACAACTATATAATACGTGTCGCATAGACACGTTAGCGCAACGTTTAAAGAACCATGGAAAATGATTTAAAGGATCGAGGCTGGTTTTACCGACTTCTAACTCGTATCGGATCGATCGGATCAATGGCTACCTGATGATCGTCCCTCTCGTAACTGTTTTCCCTGGAGGTTTCGAGAGACCTCTGAGGAGTAGCCAATTGATTCGCCGCGCTACGGAACTGCGAGGCCGAGCTGTTCGCCCCTTGTCCACCAACTGGATAATTCAGGTCCGACGTGTAGTCGGAATCCTCCGAATAACCGGCTGAAAGTGAAACAAACGTGATTCAACGGATTCGAGCGGATCGAATTGCGATGTTTTCATGTGTACCTTCGAACGCTCAATGAGACACGATAAAGGTGTCACTCTATCGCTAGGACCGTTATCTCTTTTTGTGCGTCGCGTATCGCCATTTTAAAAGATCTTGCGTATTTCGTTGGAGTTATTAAAGAGATCCGCGCGTAAAATCCCGCGAATCCCTTTCCTCGGACACTTGGGTCGAATCGGCGAGACAAGAACGGCGAGAATAAATGGCACGTTGTACGCGAAGAGCGACGCTAATTGTTCGTTCGAAGAAACGCGTTGGATTGCCCGTCGGGTTGATGCCCATTAGCGTCGCAAAAATATGAGGCTATTGGATTTTCGTTAAATCAATAATTAGAACAAACTCCATCGTAATTTCGTGCTTCCCTTGCTTCCTAAGCGAATCACGAGTGTAATTAGAACTTTGTCGGTGATGCAGTTGGCCGCAATAATTTTACAACTTTCCGCAAGTGAAATTGGTCGATATTGAACGAGTTCGAGGAGCGAAGCCGTGCACCGGGGGGTGGAAGTAGGTATGTTTGCCGAAGATTCGCAAAAGAACAGAACAGACGTTTTTTTTCGTCTCTTAGTAACGCTCGTCTTCGATCGGAAATAAGCGAGAACGATAGGACGGGAGTACGTACGTATTTACTTTACGTTCAAATGAGCGCCAACGAAAGCGTTAGCTGACGGACGGATAAATGGAAGAAACGTTAATCGGAACGGTGTAATGATCAAGATGAACGCTTTGCTCCTCTACCATGCGTTTTCTTCTTTTTTAACGAAAAGGATGAGAAGGACGCATTGACTGGTAAGTTACCGACGACTCTAAACACGAGTTCCATGGTCGATAACTTGCTTTCATACGACGGCTGTCGTGTCGAGACTCGACAAACGAGAGTCAAAACTGACTGAGCTGATAATGCACATTATTGCAAACTAACAAATCGTTTGACAACGGCAAATTGATTTTTCGCGTTGGAAGTGCATCGACGTCAAACTTTTACGAGCCGTTCCCAGGCGGCGCGGGTTTTTCGGTTCTAAAAGTAAACTCGTAACACGACCCAACGACGACGATCGAGTAAGGGTTAAACGTGACCCGGGCGAAAAAAATCAAAGGATCCTCCAGACGCGAAAACATTAAGTACGCGAGCCAATCGGTCGAAAAGAAAAAGGAAGAATAGGAAGAAGAAGAAGAAGAAGAAGAAGAAGAAGAAGAGAGAAGCGATTGATCGGGGCCAAGTCTCTGATCGTAGAGAGCGATCGAATGGAATAGCAGTCGCTTAAAATGTAATATCTTTGGATGGGAAATGGCGGGGAAATACTTACAGTGGCCTATATTGTACAATATCTGTCGGCGTGCCTGTTCGGCCCGTGCTTCCTGGTCCATCATGTTGTTCAGCATCTCCAGTTTCCTCTGTAGATCGGCCGCTTCCGTGTTCTCCGGGTCTTTCGAAAAGATAGAGATCGATTGGGGATACGTTTAATCGCGCGAGCCTCGACATCTAATTTCTTTAATCCGCACCGTCTTAAACGTCGTGTACATACGTCCTCTATATAAGTACACATATGTATGTACGTACAACGAAAGGAAAGAAGAAAAAAGTAAAGTAATCGATATTCACTACGCCTCTACCATAATCCATATCTACTCTTCTAGATAATGAGCTAGCGATAGAAGGACCGTTCATCGATCCCTCTCTCGTTGTTCATCCTCCTTTTTTTTTTTCTTCGAATGATTTTTTTTTTCTTTCGTTATTAATTCATAACAACTCGCGAATACATCGTTCGCACGATTGAAACTGGTCGTACAGATTGATCGAGATTACGATAATCTCGACGTCGAATTCGAGTGTGTGATTATTTTAAAATTCTAGATCAAAGAAAAGGGCTCTTTTGAATATCGTCTCTCAAGTTCGGACCTATTTAACGCGGCTAGTCGATTCGTGGAAATAACACACGTGATATATACGTGTATGCAATGACGGAAGGAAAAATATCTATAGGATACGAATAGAGCTCTAACGGCGTAGCTACACGCTTCGGTCACGCGAAAGTTGCATTTGCCATTTCGACGTCGGTACTTTGATATAATTTGCGAGAGAAGCCACGGAATGATGGACTTTTCAACCTGGGACATATCGCATACGTAATCGCGTATTGCATTCGGTCTTTTTCTCTTCTCGTTTACGAAACGATAAGAATATGTACTTTTAAAAAGAAGAGATAAACAAAACATCGATATGTCCGCGTCGGAGAAACTAAAAAGTAATATCTCATTCCACGGACCGATCTAAAAAGCTAGATCGGAAAGAAGGAAAAGAACTCGGAGCATTTTCGTCGTTCGACCCTGACCCACATATTTTGCATACCGGCCTGAAGCGGCGACTCCTTGCCGCGAATAACACGTACCATCGTCTCCCTCTGCGATTTCCCGTTTCTATTTTCTCTTTTCTTCGTCTCTCTTACTCTCACATACACACTCATATGCAATAAGGCAGAGGGGGAGAGAGAGAGAGAGAGAGAGAGAGAGAGAGAGAGAGAGAAGGAGAGAGAGAGAGAAAGAGAAAGAGAGAGAAAGTGCTTGTTCGCTGTCGGTGGTCGCTTCTAACTTTGGTTCGGATGCAATTAAAATAAGGAACTCCCTGCGGTCGTGCCTAAAAAGGGTCAAGCCCTCGGAGGAGAGAGCAAGTCGACGTCTCCGTCTTTTTCTTCATCGTCTTCTCGACATCGTCGTCGTCGTCGTCGTCGTCGTCTCGGAAGCAGAAAGACCGAGTAGTTCTTTTCTTTGAGCTTTCCCCCACTTTCCAGCGAGACGACGAGAGTTTCAACCCTCCCACGACTCCGATGACCTCTCCAAAGCTTTCTCTCTCTCTCTCTCTCTCTCTCTCGCGTTTCTCCTCCGTTCGAGAATAGTGACGTCTCTTTAAGGAGATAGGGAAACCTGCCTGCTGCACTCGAAGCATCACGCACGCGCACGTCCGCTCGCTCTCACCCCTTCAACTCTTCTATTGTACACGACTCGGAGGAAAGAATATCGGTTGATGTTTTTTCGCGCGAGCCGCTTTTTTTATTTTTTTTCAGATTATTTTCTAAGCACTAACCTCGTTGGTCTTTCGACGTTGCTATTCGACGATCGTTCGACCGATATAAATGTGATATATAAACGTTGCTCGCGTCGATAATATAACATCTGCTCGTCGATATATTGAAAAACGGCGTTGCGAGTAACTGCGAGCTTGAGTGGAAGCTCGCTAGTAGTGGCTCTTTTTACGAACGTAGACCGAGCGATCGAGCGTGTGTGCGATAAAGAGAGTTTCTTTCTTTCAAAAGACGAAAGAACTTCCCCCGTCCAAGTTTTCCTTCTTTTTCTTTGTCTCTTTGTCGTTATCCACCTAGCCCAAGGCGAATTTTATCCGAGGTTCAATTTTTGCGATCCGCGAATGACACAACGAGACGTGTCTTTCTGAGAGAGTGTCGTCATTTATTTCTTCGGTTTTTCGGACAGACTCTTTTTATTTCCTTGCTGCTGGCCGAATCGAAAAGGATGCTAAAAATAAGAAAATTCTAGCATCTCTTCTTTTTCCCTTTCGCAAAAAAAGCGATCAATTTTATCGGAAACGACCAACGACGAAAAGGAAACGTTTGTCTCGAAAAATGCCGACGCGAAGACTTTTAATTTTCTCGCGAATCGATCCTGTTACAAGAATGTTTCTCCCTTCGATTCCATAGCCGGCTTTTTGATGCAGCCTCGTCAGACGAGGAACCAAAAGATTCGGTCATGGAACGAAATAACTTTCTGACAACGAAGAACGCAAGACCATCTTCTTTTATATATCCGTTTATTTGGCTAAAAGAAATGATTGAATCAAAGCAATATGCTATATAATATATATGTATATCGCGTTAGACGATTAATTGGTTTCGTCTATTTGAATCGTTGCTCCTCCCTCCCTCCCTCCCTCCCTCTCTCTCTCTCTCTCTCTCTCTTTACTTTTCGAAGAACGAAGATCTTGGTATTTTGAAAAAGTTTGAAGAGCCTTTATCGTTCTCCTTTATCGAAACCTGACACCAATTTCGAACAAACGTTTTTCCTTCGATGAGTTTAATCGACCGTCGAAAAGATTCGATCAACGTGTACGACCATTCGCTAGATTTCGTTTTAATCGGTTCGTTATTAACTTTACTGATTTTTCAACGTCTTCCTGGTGCGTAAGATAAATACACAAGTGTACGAAAATAATAAAGAAAATAGAAATAGAAATACACACTCCACGATGCGTTTCGCATGCTTGAAAAGTGAAACGAATGAAGCTAACTAACGTAATTACTATCCCCATTCATTCGCCGACGAAGGAAAAAAATCATCGACGTTCGTCAACGTCGGTGCGATCGATTCGAACAAACGAATTCGCAAAAGACATTTTTGTTACGTCGACGATTTAACGGATCATACATCATCGGCGCCTACTACTATTGGTCGTCGATGATGGATCCGATTGAAAAGCAAAGTCGTATACGAAAGAAAAGAAGACGAAAAGGAGAAGAGGCAGATAGAAGGGTGGTGGTGGTGGTGTTGGTGGGTTGGGTGGGGGTGAAGGGAAACGACTATGGACAATTGTTCATTTAAATTACAGTGTCGCAGCCATAGCTCGGTTGTATGTATATCCGCAGGTACCCTCTCGCATCATTGCAACGCGATATCATTGTCATTAGCCTTCAAAGAACAAAGAAAAAGAAAAAGTCGCTCGCTTAACGCGGCAAAGCCCATCCCCCCTCTTGTGCTATCGCCGCGCCACTGCGTGCACGTGCGATGGTGTGCTGCGAAAGTGAATGAATATGTGCGCTTTAATAAGGAAATATATGCTTGAAGAGAGATAGAAAAATAGAAAAGAGAGAGGAGATAGCGGGCGAGGACGGAACGGAATTCAAGAATATATCGTATCGAACAATTATCGGCCAATCGAACGAATAGGAAAATAACGATAAAGGTTGTCGTCAACGGAGGAAACGGACATCAACGATGTGTTTGGATATTCAATAAGAAAAGTGGAAGATAGCGATTTACAGAAATTTGTCGCGTAAATTACAAGTAAAAGCAATGATATCTTTGCGCGTGATAAAAGAGATGTCGGATAACGTATTTTTCCGTTCGACAAGAAAAACTCTCGATACGCAACGCTTTGTCACCACATCCAACGTTTCTTTCATTTTACCTCGATACTCTTAGCAAACCTGATTGTTGGCGCATCCGATGCTTCCTCTCTATCTCTTTTATGGACAAAATACGACAAAAGTCTCTGAATAAAGCTTACTGCTCAAGTACCTCGAAAGGTCAAACGTCTCACCTTTTAACATTGATTTACGAACGATCGACGCGTTCTTTTTTTCTTTTCTTCTCTAAAGATATCAAACTAAAGATAACGAAAAGCGGAATTCCTAGAAGAGGTGCCGTGCTCTCGTGATAATGCAATGCCTTTTTCTTTTTTTCATCTTTCTGTGTGTGTGTGTGTGTGTGTGTGTGTGTTTTCACGAATTACGCCGGCGATCGATCGATTCGACGAAAGGAAAAAACATATGAGAAAATTATTTTAACGGTGATAAATTCATCGTAAAGAACCGAAAAGAGTTTTCTTAGCGTGACTTTACACTTTACGTCGTCATACTGTCGTAAAACGCGCACGAGTTGATCCAAAAGAGATTGAACAATTAGCTTAACGGAGAATAGAAGGAAAGGAAAAAAAAGAGACGCAAGACGATACGAAAAGATTGGAACAAAGCATTCGAATCAATTAAGTTCAAAGCCATTTTCTTAATTACCGTGAAACGACAAATCTCGGGCCTACTATCTTTCGTTGAACCGATCGATCGTCGTCGCCCACGATCTTTCCGATTGCATCGTCTTAGAATATGGCGCAAAGATAAAGAGAGGATAAAAGAAAGAGAAACGAAAACCGACATGTAAAGGCTATAGTGCAGTGGCTGACGAGCAAAAAGAGGGTTATTATCGCTAATTACGTTCAAACAACGCGGATACTCTCGTGGATCGTGAAAGCGCGTCTCGTTTCGATCATTTTGTTAAATTTCCTTCGCGTTCATATCTTTTGGATTAGAGCGAGATAAGGTAATTAAGCTCGACTATGTGCGCTCGACGCAAGTCCACGAAAAACGAAGCATCCGCTGAACGATAAAAGAAATAATACGTGAGGTGCGAATTAGCGCACGGCGTTCCCGCGATCAATGGGAATCCCCTAAATCCACCAAAAATCGGGAGGAGATCCTATTGATCAAGGTCAATGCGGATTTTGACGAGGGTACCTGAGCCACACATGGGCCGAGCTGCTCGCAACTGCATTGCCGTTTCGCTCGTTAGCAGGGCTTTCCATCCGGTTCGCCGATCGCTCTTTCCTGATTGGTCAGACACTGATCAGACGGTACGATCGGACGTTTCTCATCCGTTTAACGATCGTGTTTTTTTCCTTTTCTTTTCTTTTCTTTTCTTTTCTTTTTTCTACGTCTACGTGTGCGTCGGTAAACGTATGGGCATATGTATGTGTGTTGTTCGCGTCGACGCGGCTGCCAAAAGTGTTTTACGGTGATTGATTTGAAGATAATCACTGATTTCGTAGAGAACAAACTCTTTTAACTCGGATTAAAGGTCGAATAAACGGGGCGCCTCTTCGGCAATGCATTTTCTCTCTCGCAAATCTAGAAATCTATTAGCGATCTAGTCGGATTAACGAGACGAACGACAGTATCTCCAAAGTTTTCTTCTCTATTCCTCTCTTTGCTATCCCCTTTCACACATCTGTCTCTTCCCTGCCGTATGTACATATATTGGAACGAAAGGTGGCCTCGGGACGACGGGACTCGTCGACTACCAGTCAGTAGTTCCGTGATAAAAGACCTTATCCGAGACGAATAGAGATGAACAAGAGAGAAAGAGTTCCGTACGAATTTTCTGATTTAGCAAACGGTGATTTATGTATAAAATGCCGTCGGAGTAAGATCTTTTTTCTTGTCGCGGTGCTCAGGGATAGCCATGAAAATAAACCGTTCCCCGTGTCGACGTAATGCTATGCAGTCCGATAAATCTGACTTATATTTATGAATCCATCGAGGTGTCTTCAAAAATACCGGCTCACCATTCTACGAGCGTCATAAATCTTTTCCACGTGTACCTACGAGGATATTGATTCTTTCGGAGCACATTGCCTTTGGATAGTAGATTTCAACCAAAAATGTTATTTTTATATATCGGCAAAGTGATTGAAAGAGCGTAAAAAAATACATTATGCGTTCGACTGAGTGTCAAGGTCTTAAAATATAATTTAAGAGGTATCTATGTTCTATTTACACGTCGCCCTAAAAAAAGCTCAATGAAAGGTAAACTGGGATAAGATGGAGAGCGCTCGATGAAAATCCATTAAAAGCAGGCATGTCGGCGCGGATGTAGAGAAAACCGGAAATATACGTGGAATAAAAGTACACGCGGTCGTGAGAGAGGAGTAGGAAAGACAAAGGTGGAAAAGGAAAAAGAGAAGGAGAAAAAGAACGTGTAGACGAGGGTGACGTTGGAAAGAAAGGGAAAGGAAGGGAATGCGAGGAGGGTTAGAGGGATGGGTAGAGCGATGCAGCCTGCACCTAGGTTTATTATAAACGGCCTCCTTTTTTCCCTCATTTCGCAACACGGTCAAGTGGAGCATCGCGTGATACAAAATAATTTGCACCGTTGCTTTAAAAGGAACTCGCGTAAGACTTTGCGCACGATTTAAATATATAAGGGAATCGAGAAAAATCGTCCACGATAAAGGGCAATTTTCGCGTCAACGCGTTCGGCTAATCGGTCCGTACTTTAAATGGCTACGTCTCATCCTGCCCCGTCCCGTTCTACACGACCCATCCTACGTCGACGTTCTAGCCCTCCTCCTTATCGATCCTCCGATATTTATTTCCGTTATTGTCCCTAGTTCTTATCCGGCCTCCCGCCGGATTTTTTCTTCAACGTCGATCCATGGCGTTTTATCCCAAGAAAGAAAATTTTGTCCATTTTTATCACGAAATTATCGGAAACATGCTCCGATTGTAACCGAGAAGCGAGAGGGTCGATAACATATCGATCGTCGTGTCGACGACCGGCCAGTAGGTAAAAGTTAACCGCGCTTCTTGGAAAGTATTACTTTTTCGAACCGAACGTTTTTTCTAAAAGATTATATTTAGGAAAAAGAACACTCGTTCTCGCTTCTAATGAGATAAATTTGGCAAGATTAGGAAATACCATTTACGCATATGTCTGAAAATATCGAGAAAGCCATTAACGAAGGGTCCTCATTTGATTATTACTAATTGATTAGCGATTGATAGGTAAACGTTTTTCAAAATCCTTCGGTTTAAATTGGTCTGCCTTTGGGGCGGTTACACAAAACGTTATTAACGATCGATATCGGAAGAGAAAACGATGAGTTTGCAGTTATACGCGATCGCTCATGAATAATGCATGTAAAACGCAGCTATACGATATGACGCTAGAATGCATCTCCTAGTTTCGTATAAACGTACGAAAAGCATGTCGGTCGTATCATCGGATGTCTGCTTGAGAAAGAATTGCATCGTCGTTGAAAGGAAGAGGAAACCAAATTGAGAAACGAAGCGCTCTCTCTTCTCTTTTGTGCGTGCTCGCACAAACGCAAAAACGCGCTATCCTCATTTCGTCTGAACCCGAGAGGGAAACTTCGAGCGAGGTAGCTTCGTTGGTATTTCCTTTTTACTCCTCTCTTTTCTCCCACTCACCTGCAACGTTCGGTCGGTTTCGACCAATTTCCAAAGTACCAGATGTCGAAATAATTCTCGAAGCACGTAGCTACGCGGCATGCGAATTGTACGAATCGGCTTGGAATCTACGAACCACCGGCAGGCGTCGAGCCAAAAGCTCGACAAGTTTCTAGACGTACTCAATTAAAAGTTCGTCCTCGAGAAGTCGTGTTTTCTCCTCCTCCGCCTCTCGTACGATCGACTACTACACGAACCGGTAACGCACGTTTCTCTCCACTTCCCTAGAAATCCCTTTTTGCTTTTTTTACGAATAATACTTATCATCTTTCGTCGACGGCTACTGCTTCGATTAAAATAATCTTAGAAGGCTTACCGGGAACCAATTCCGTTCAATCCCTTCGTAATCCACGACCATTTACCTTTCAAACTTGGATGGATCGATTCTCTCTTAGATTTTTTTTCAACATTTACGCCCTTTCGATTCCACTGTCTAGATCCGAGTCTGACGATCGTGAAATTAAACGGATATATGCGTGTCAGCCGAGATTTCTTTTCCTAGCGATAAGTCTCGCGTTGAACACTTTTGGCAACCGCATTTGGAAAGGTCGTTTGACCATCGACCAACGAATGAACTACATCGTTCGACTTTTTATATTTCACGATGATCATGTTGCTGTTGCGTTTAAAAGTGTACGCGCGCGCGGGTGTATCTCGTGATAAAGAACTATAAAATTAAACTAGTATAAAAGCACGGTCGTATTGTCCTTAGGTATAATTATCTTTTTCTTTCTTTTATAGAGCAATAATAAATACTCGGACTCACCGTAAGGTAACTCCAATCGACAGTCTATTAGTAGAGAGTGACCGGTCGGCTTTTTCGTGCCAATAATTTCGGCACCCCTCATTTCGAGCTCGGAATCCAAGCAGACCCACTGTCCAGAGCCCTCCTGCAAAGTGAACGTATAAAACGATATAAATCCAAGGTTCTACGGGCGACAACAACTTAGGGAAGAGAAAAATTGTCGCTCTAAAAGAAAAAAAAGAAAAAAAAGAAAAAAAAAAGAAACAAAAAAAAGAAAGAGAAAAAAAACGACTAAAAAGCATCGCTACGTTCGTTCAGAAAAAGCGAGCGAGAAGATCTTGCGATAAGATTGTACCTACTGGATTAAAGTAATTCCAAGGGCAACTTGAGGAAAAAATAAAAACGATCCAGCTTGTGAGACATTTTTTTAACGGTATATTTTAATCGTGAAATATCGTAAAAAGCTTTAATATTAAAGAGACTCCGGTAAATACGTAATGCAGAGTGGCGAATAGCCATACTGTTTGCCTTACGTCGACTATAATTCATCGAGTCGATCAAATATACTCGAGAACGTCTTGTTGATTCACGATACTGTTTATCTTTCATACGTACATACGTACATACGATATCTGTAGATAGCTAATTTTGTTCGTACTCATTTTTCGACCATCTTTTAAACGACGTTTGCGCAGTATACGATGAAAGAGTAAATAATTTAATGCACGTAGTAGATGGGATAGTTTCGAATGCACTATAATTCATTCGCCGACGATTGCATTAGCATCGAGAATCAACGCGTTACGTCCCGACTGCTCGCGAACTCCAATTATTAAATAGAAGCGTGAATGTATAATAATTTATATAACTTCGTCGAAAGCGTTCTTTCCATTTGGCGTATAACGATCCGAATGCGTACCGTTAGTTAGGCGTCGGGCGATAATGGCTGTAGCCATGAAATATTCTTCCTCTCTATTTCAATCGCGAAAAGAATCGGAGAGGTATAAAAACTTGTTAGAAATGGGCCACAATTAAGGCGATACCTTTTTCTATTTGCGCTAGTAACAAACTTGTACCCTGAACCTTAAAGCTCTCGGTCTCGGTTATTTTTCTCCCTCTCGAGCAGTCGTGTACGTAAGGAATTTCAAAAGGGGAATTGCGTCAGGATATGCAAAATTATAATTCCATGAGTGGTTACGAAAAATGATTAAAGATCGATGTCCTTGAAAGAGCTCGAAGCGAGAAAATCGAGATCAGGTCGATCGAGGTTTTCGCTCCTTTTAAGGACCTGTTGTACCCTATGTATTTCACCGTCAACGTCTGGAGAAAATATTTTCTTCCCTTTCTCGACTTTCGACGGACGTAACACGCGATCGTAAGTCGACGAGGGCACTCGACGTCCTAACGAATTCCTTTCAATTATTTCTGCCCCACTAATCCGATTCCATCACGAAACTAGACTACGGCGTTCTCGTTAGAGAAACGGCGAATCGTAAAAACTGAAAACAGCCTCGTCGACGCTAAAAGCTCGAATAAGGGTTAAGGTGCGGAGTAACGATAATTAGGATGAATCAAAGTATTTTCTTTCGTAAGCAAATTTCCTTAGGATATTTAGTTGCAGTTTCGCTTCGTAACGTACTTGATAATTTTCAACGATCGATACAACGAGAAGGAGAGAATAACGAGTAGTCTCGAAATATACGGAGATTGAAATTTTAAATATCTACAACCTCGTTATCCGAGATCATCCGATTTCGCGCTGCTTCGAGAAAAACAGATAAAAGGAAAGGAGAATTATCTTTGGACCAACGGGCCTTCCCATTCTTGGGCGTTGCTCCAAAGATAAATTCTCCGTTTCGCATTTCGCGCACGACAAAGACAAAAGAGAAACATCGAGCAACGTTCTTCCATCGAGGATGCTAACGATCTAACTGCAAATTAAAGGACATTATTCGGACAATCGCAGATCGCAAATCGAGCGTACGCTGTGCTCTTAACCCTAATTGCTTCTTATCAGGATAACCTTACTGTTCCCTCTCCTGTTCTAATATAATCGATGAATTAGCCACAATGGTTTTGGTTAGCCGCGACTCAGAAATATCGCGTCTCTCGTCGATCGATTGCTTTTGCAAAGTATTTCGATCAATTTCAACTTCTTTCTATTTTACGCGCAACGATAATTAAAGACGACTCGCTGTACTCGATCGAGGATGCTCGTCGATCCGCCCGAGTTGGAATTAATTCCAGCCTATTACAGCGCTACTAGGGGTAGGTGAATTGAGTTAGTGATATAGGTGTGACGTGTGGTCGCCCCCGTCTGATTTCAATCCGTCTCCATGCAACCGAGCCCAATTATCGTTTCGATCATACAAGAGAGAAATAAGTGTCTGAACGAATCGATGGAAGGAGGAGAACAGGGCAGCAAGGCAGAGAGAGAGAGAGAGAGAGAGAGAGAGAGAGAGAAGAGCGTTAACCATACTCTCGTTCGATATTCATCGTAATAAAATAAACTAAACGAAAGTAATTTGCATTCCTATCTCGCGCCATCGAAATATACAATTCTTCTATGAATCTTATGGCAAAACTAATTTTCTTGCGATCGCGTCCATAATAATTCTTTTCGCCAATCAACAAATTAATTTCACATTTCTTATTTACTTTCTGGAGAAATATGTGTGTGATCGATTCGAGTGCATTTCGTTTTAACGTAAAAATTCTGCCGATCGATACGAGACACATTTTAACGGAACAAACGTGAAACGTCGATACTACCCGACCGAGTCACGAGGCGACACGATTATTAACGTCTCTATAAATCCCACCCCTTTCTTTTTTCCGCACGCGCGTTTTGACCCCTTTTCAAGATTTTTTCCAACAACCTCCTCTTCGTCGTCGGCGTGTGCTGGCTCGGCGTTCTCGTGCCATCTCATGAAATTGAGCGAGGACAAAAAGAGAATTACGGTGTACGCTAAAACGGGTAGAGCGAACAAACGAGAGAGAGAGAGAGAGAGAAAGAGAGAGAGAGAGAAAGAGAGAGAGAGAGAAAGAGAGAGAAAGCCTGGGTATTTGCGAATGAGACAAGACGCCCCCGCAATTAAGGGTCCGACAACACAATGATTCTCCGCCATAATCTCCGCAAATAATTACAAACGTCGCGTAGGGATTTGTCACGCGATAAGGACGAACGCTCTATGACTATTTCCTATTATGAAGAGAGAGAGAGAGAGAGAGAGAGAGAGAGAGAGAATATAACGATAGAAAGAAGAAGCCATCGTTCTCGTAAAAGCGGCTACAATTTCCTAACTCTCGATCGAACGAGATCTCGTGGTCGTTCATCAATTTCTTGGGACAACTAAGCGACTCGACTCGATCCTCTCTTTTAAAGATCATGCGCCAGTCCCTCTTTAAGGGAGATAGCGATTATCTCTCGAAAGACTCTCTCGAACCTTTCGAGTTATCGAAGGAACGACACATAGAACGACATACTTGCGAAATCATCGAAGCGATATTCGGTTTCTCGTTCCTTCCTTCATATTTCCACAGCGTTAGGAAGGCAAACGAACGATTTACTTCGGAGGAGACGCTAAAAGGGGAAGATAAAGAGTAGAACGGAAATGATAGGATCGATCGAAGAGTGCCATCCTGTTGAGCCGTTTCTTCATAGTCTTCGTGAGCCAAGACTGAAATCGTCGATCAGCGGAACGGAGTCTTGGAAATGATTCTCGATCGTAGCTGCCATCGAAGGCGAGGAACGAAATAAATCGATATCCGTTGCATCCTCCATCTCCGTTACTCTTACTTACATTACGCAACGGTCTTTTTTTATTTTTCTTTTCCTTTCTTCGAAGTTCAAAAATGCCGAGTTCTTTCTCGCTAAATCTCGATTCTTGTCTGATTAACGACGAGAGAGTGGATGGTGGCCCTCTTTGGCCGTGCAGAAGAAAGGCCGGCAGCCATTGAAAGACCACTCTCGAGCGAGCTTTAAGTCGGTAATGAAAATGCAAATTTAGGTAGGTAAGTCTCCTCGACGGTGTTAAAATGGCGAAAAGAAGATCGATCTCTCCTGTGCGCGTTGTTCAGAGCCTCTCTCTCTCTCTCTCTCTCTCTCTCTCTCTCTCTCTTTCTCTCGGTGCGTCTTTTATTCTTATAAGGTAATAAAGTCTTTCGCGGGAAGGAGAGAAGGAAGAGCGGACAAGAAATAATAATCGAAAACTTTTCTCCAAATATTATATGTACTTTCGATAGTTAATTACCGGAGAAGGAATATTAGGTCGGTAGAAAGATTTTTGCGCGTGGCTTTGTTAAAAGAAATGAAAATTACTTTTATATACCTATGTATATAAAAATGTGTGTTGAAGAAAATTGATAAAAGATTGTCTGCTAACCATAGCCATTTTTTTTGACAAACGTCGTCTACTCTTTCGATAAAATGAAAAGCAACGAAGGATCGAAAAGTATTGAAGCGTGGAGAGGCAGGATTTTCATCTCCCGGGAGGAAGACGTTCTTCCGAAATCAAGGATATTCATCGTTGTGACGGCAAATTCAATTCAGAATCGCATGAGTGCGGCAAGCGTCATACCGTGGAACGTAGTGAAAATGTTGACGGTAGGGATAAAGGAGATATCGCTAAAAGCTATGCCAAGGCGGCACCGTTAGGGACGGTTGCTTCTTTCCACGTGTGCGTCGTGGCACACGTAAACTTCGAAAGAGAGGGCCATATACCGAGGCATGTTACCGATGCCGTTCGTTTGCAGTGCTATCCCGGCGTTATACCCCTCTCGAGTTTCTTGACATATCACAGTCAGCGCATTTCTAATGTGAATCGAACCGCTCGTACGAAGATCTCTCGCTCTTCGGTCGGCTCTATGAATATTTTAAGCCAGACCTGACCCAGATTGTCCTCGCAACAGAAAAAGCTACTCTTTTTTACACATCGCTTAATCAATCTCTCTACCGCACCCTCTTCTCGTCACGTTTACTATACTTTATCCGTTATATTTTCAACTTTCGTTCGTTCTTCCGCAGCAAACTTCCCACTCTGGTCACTCTGCTTCTCTTAGCCCACCTATTTCCTTCCCCTTTTTATCTCTATCTCTTGTTCTCATTCCCCTTATGTCCCGACGTCGGCTCGCCAGACTCGTCGCGTCGATCGATCGTCTAGAAACTTGAAAGAATGGCTCGTCTCGTGATTCATCGTTTTTTTCTTTCCCTCCTTCCCTCCCTCTCCCTCTCCCTCTCCCTCTCCCTCTCCCTCTCCCTTCTACCAATCATTCGTGGTCACGACCACGAGGTTTAAAGTGCAAACGTGAATAAAAGGAAAGGCAAAAGAAAGGAAGCATCTTACGATCGTCGAAAAGTAATTTGTCGTAAGAACTCTGGAAAGAGGTGTTGCGTCGTAAGAAATTTTACGATGTAAAGTAGTGTAGGGTAAGCTGGCTCGATTTTTAGCTCTTTTTTCGAACGATACATAGAAAAAGTGCGATATCGTTCGATATCCTCTATCAAGGTCGTTGCCACAAGATCGGAGCTGGCCGTTCGCGTGTGCGCACGCAAAATAATGCCGTCGTAAAAGCACGTCGACTACGTCGCCTTGGCTTCCCCGTTCGTTTCATTGAGCGCTTCGAGTTGGCTGCGCGCCAGGTGACGTCACGAGCAGAAAAGACTCGAAGATTGTTGCTAGCGATGGCGATGGTGGGACCAAGGTGGATATCATGGATGAAGGCAGTCATGGCTATGCTTCTTTTATCCTTCTCGAATCAAAAATTCAGGATGACGAGTTTGAAAACGTTGGTCTTTCTTTTGTCTCGTCATCAAATGTCGATCCTTGATAGTCGCTCGAACTCGAGACGTAAAGGAACGTCCCACCAGGATAATCTTCCTTTAATAAAGCAAACATCTACGATATCTATGACTATGGTATATTCGAGCGGATGTATAGAAAGATTAGGATAAATCCAGGTTATAGGCTACTCTTGGACGCGGTAAGCGAGGACGGAACGGTTAAAGGGTGAGGCGAGTATTTGAGTGTGTGTAAAAGGAAGGGTCGTCTCTCGGACGTGACTGAATTACACCCCTATCCGAGGTAAGGCCACCCTCTAATTTAATTTGTACGACCCTCCGTCGAAAGATAAGATGTACTTGGTGCAATTCGTGCGGAAAAAAGCACACTGCCCCTTCTCTCTCACTCTCGTTTTTTCTAGCTTTTGCACCGGTGAGAAGATCCTTCGTCGATCCTTCCACTCCGATCGAACCAAACAGTGCCTACGTAATATGCTTATGACGATCTTACGCGACATTCTTTCGCGAATATCTCCGGCAAAGGCGCTACGCTATTCTCATCATTTTCAAAATCCTTTGCGAATCAATTGGATTAGCACAGCTAGTCTCTTTCGTCGGTCGATCTTGCCGGTGCAGTCAAACGCATCTTCTTTCATCCGAAAGAATGAATATATAAGGATACTTGAGTCGAAATTCTTTTCAGGGATCCTTCGCAGTTTGCGATGGTTCAAGGACCTTCAGAGTAGTGTCTGACAGGGATAGAGAGAGAGAGAGAGAGAGAGAGAGAAAAGGAGGAATATAGACTTCGGCCCTGTCATCCCATCTCTTTGAAAAAGTCCCTTATAAGTCTCGGATAAATATCCAAACGTTTCTATTTTCGATATTAAAAATTGTTATCTCGAGAACGATATTTCTTAAAGTTATTTTAAGACTATAATTGTAACAGAATCTATAAGAGAAATTCGGTTAATATAAGCGGAAAAGCTTTTCTATCTTTAGACTTGGTTCGTTTTTTAATAAAGAAAAGTAGATGGAAACGTATGATATCATGGATAAAGTATAAGAAAGAAACGGTGAGGCCGTGGTAGCAAGTTTCATGTTACTTACGAATTTATGTATTCCTCCACCTTTTGTATCGGTCGTCTCTCTTCGTTCGAGCTTCGGAATCGTCAAACTTCTACGGAACGATATCGACTGTTCGAGGGACTTTTATTTGCGCTACCCACTCTACGGCAATGATATTTTATAAGCGAGCCGAGCGGGGAAAAGTTAAGGGAGAAAAGTGGACGGACTTTTCTCTTTCCCTTTATTTTCTTTTTTCGTTGCGAACCGAGCTATCGATGATATCGATCCGCAACTTCTTTCTTTCAACGATCTACGATTATTTTTATCCTCCATCTTTTCACGCGAGAAAAATATTGAAAATTAAAACGTCAAATGATGTAATTGCTATCGTAATAGCAAATCCTTACTACGAATTGTAAATTTACAGAAGAAAATAATAATAAGAAAATGTAGCGGCTGCGATCTAATCTACTGCAAACTTGTTTGCATAAATTACAAATCGCTTCTTGATCGTTTCGAAGAATCACTCGATTGCTGATCAAAAGATTTGAAAGTTAATAATCGAGAAAGGGCGAAAGGGAGAAGGAAGATATAAAAGTTTGATATTAACAAGAGCCGAAGCTAACTCGAGGATAGATTATGGACAGCCTTTAAGCTTGGGATTACCGGGATTCTTATGTTCCCGTCACGCGTCTGCAAATGCTCGCCTCGATGGTAAACGGATCAAAGCCGGGATGTGTTTCACGTTCGACTTATAGAACGCATTGTAAGATGAAAAGAAAGAAAGAGAGAGAGAGAGAGAGAGAGAGAACGCGCGTGCGCGCGGGTAAAGAGGTTGAACCGATGTCATTATGAAATTGTACTCCGTGAAATATGATCGTCGCATTATCGAGAAGCATAAAATTCACAATGGACGAAAGACGGGTAAGCTTCTTCGAGATCGTGAAAGGAGAAGGTCGAAGACGTCGTTAGGTCACCGATAACGACGTGCGTCCAAAACGATTTGGAAAACTCTTGAAACGTTTAAACGATATGCTGCATCTGAAAAAGAAAGAAAGAGGAAAAAAGAAATAAAGAAAATGAGCGAGAATCGCAACGATTGAAACGATGAAAATGGGAAATAATTTTTAAAAATTTGAAAAGAGAAGAATCTGCGATAATCGCATTATTGGGGAGTCTTATCAAAACTCATAGCTCGTAACGTATCGCATTAAATCGTATATGTAGCAGAGAATGTAATATGTAAATAAATACTTGTCGGATCATGAATCTCTTGAGCTTCGGAGTGTCGAAAGTTTTGTCGATAATTGAGAATGTTTGGACAAAAGATTGACTTTGAAAAGATATAATCTAAAGGACTATCGCGCGAGAGGTTCGAGGTAAAGAACCGATAAAAAGACGACGGTCTTTCGTTCGTCTTTCACGATCTCGCAAGTACTTGCGACGAACGTATTTTACATTGTGCTTCCATCTTTCCTTCTAATACTTTTTGGTATCGTTTCGAGGAAATTTCAATTCCTGGTGACGAAAGCAACACTTAGCCAAATTACTTTTGCAATCTCTCTACCTCTCCCTCTCTCGTTTCATTATTCGTTATCCCCCGACCGATTACATATATCGAAATCGTTTCACTCGAACGGTGACTCGAACGAGGAAATAGAGTGAAATATGCGCTTGATAGATCGTCGACGCTCGCCGAAAATACAATAAATCGGAAAAATAGTTTCACGGCTCGAATCGGTTGAGGCGCCTCTATCGAAGAGTCTCAAAAAACAGTAGTACTTTCGATCAACGACCAGGGTGGTAATTGGGTTCAGTTCGTTCGACGTGAGAACACTCAACGAATTTCGTTACGTCTACGAACTTCGATCAGATGATTGAGAAAAAAAGGTAAAGATCTACTACATCGGGGATGGATGGAGAAAGAAGGAAGAATGTGTTTCCAAAAGAGCCCTCTTTGAAACATCTCGTAAATAATTAGCGTTTCCTCTGTTTTCTCTCTCTCTCTCTCTCTCTCCCTCTCTCTCTCTTTCTTTCTCTCGAAGTCCCTCGAAGCTTCGATATTACACGTTAAGTGGTAGAGAAAAAAAGCGCGTAATAGAAAAACTTTATTTCGTGAAATTGGCGTAAAAAAAATCTTTGCATACGATACGAGAAAGAGGATAACAAAGAAATTGAAGTATTGGCTGTAGTACGACCTAGATGAAAGAAATATCGGTTAAAATTTGCTGCGATACAATTTCCTTATTAATGGATATATCCGAGAGATATTAAAAGATCGATGAAACTGAAAGAAGAATTTATCGAAAAGTTTTTCAACTCTTAAGCTTACAATAGAATCGTGTCTTAAGCGTGGAATGAAACTGCATGCTGGAAAAGACTATTCGCCTTTATTTCGGATAGTGCACGTGCATGAATTAAAATTCTACAAAACTTTTTATAGCTACGTTACTAGCATCGATTGAACATACTAAAAAAAAAGAAAATATCTGCTCCGATATTTCGTGTTTTTAGATAAAGTGATTTTGATCAATTTCAAAGTTTCCCTCGAATAATCGTGACGAATGAAAATTTGGAATCTACGATCGTAAATTTTCGCAAACATTTCGTAGAAAGTCTTTTGAAAAAATTGTTGCGAAAATTTGCTGCGACTGGCCGAATTTGATTTTCAGTCCTTTCAGCAAATATCAAAAGTTTTTCGATCGAAAAGAAATGTCCAGAGCTATATGCCTCGGAACGAACGAATAAGTAGCGTTTCTGTAAAAGCAGCTATGCGCATGCACGTTCGATTGAAAAATGATGCTCTACTAAAAAATGTGTATGTATCGTGTTGAGTGTACCGTCCGAGTGTCGCCAAATGGTTGTGTATTGCTGTTGTTATCTGACGATACGCGTTGCTCTTGCTTTAACGCCGATGTCTCGAAAGTCTTATTTGACGTTACCTCGTTCATGTAGGACACTTCCGAAAGTGGGATGAAGTAGTAACCGAGAAAACGATCCCAGAGAAATCCCTTGCACCAAACTTCTACTAGCAGGCCAGCGTTCATATCGTTTGTTTCGCTGAAAAAAAAAAAAAACGGATTTTGCAGAGATTAACTTTTAATGGCAAATCACACGTTTCTAACAAAGTAACGCGATCGAATTTCGTAAGAAAACAACTAACTGTCTAATTATTCGAAGGTCCAACGAGCAATCGCGTAATTATTGATGGCCGTCATTGTTAGAAACGTCACTTTAGCCCTTTGTCGACGACCGAGACAAATACGCGTTAAATATATACACGATCAACGAATACAAAAGCTTGCACCAAATGAGAAAAGTAGGTTAAAGATTTGTTAGCTCGTACATAAGGATTTGTATTTGAGACGAGAGTTTCCTAGCGTCACGATTCGCGCGGCCTTACTTACGTTCAAAACGTTCCAGCGAAAACTTGAAATTGTTCGATATGGACAGGATTGATTACTTAAGCGAACTATTTATTAGATATGGTTAAAAAATCGTTATGAATATCCTGAAGGAAGAATCAAATTTGCTGCTGAAACGCAATATGCGTGGTAATAGCGATAAAAGACCGGCGATCGATCGCTCATTGGTTAGGAGTTTTAAACGGGGCAGCCCGTAAGCCACCTTACTGGCGGAAACATTGAACCGGCTGCTTTGAACTATAGCTAGGTAGAAATATCGATGACGTCATTCGCCACTTGTTCGAGGCGGCCCTTCGATCCAGAACAGATACGGAGTAGATGTAGAATGTAGTTGTAGAATAGATCCGAAACAGATCCAGAACAGATCCGAAACAGGAGAGATCCAGGAAAATGCTTTTTTTCTTTTTCCAGCTCTCGGGCTAGCGAGCGATTACGCGTTCGTTCGATAATTACGTGCAACCGGAGAAATCAATCCTCCTCTTCGTCGGCGTTTCAACGATTTAAACGTTAAGTAGATCTATGCTCGAGACGCGCTAACGATGCATAGAAACGGGCGGATCGGACCCGTTGAGGCCACATTCGCCTCTTTCTACGAGGAACAAAAAAGAAAAGAAAAGAATAGGAGAGGAGAGGAGAGGAGAGGAGAGGAGAGGACAAAAAGAAATTGAAATTTTAAACGCACCTCACGATCTCGCTAATCGACCTATTCTAAGCCCGCTATCTCGTCGCCGCGAAGCTAAGCATCTATTTATGTATCGATGACCGACTGGATCGGCTTACTCCTTAAGGAGGCTCGATAGTCGATCGCGAAATTTCGGATTTCACTGCGTTTCTCAAGCCCGCAGACGGAAACTCAATAACGCGTACAAACCGATAATATTTATAACCGCGCAACATTCTTCTTTTTCGATACGTACCTACCAGTTTCGTTCAGCTCAAAGACATTCGAAAAGGAAAATATAGCGGAAGAAATAATAGAAAACGTTGTTCGTGCTCGAATAAAAAAAGAAAAAAATAGCTACTTTTCGAAGAAGGTGGAAAAGGCACGACGATGATCGTGAGCAACCGTTTTAAATTTAAATTGATTTTCTTACGAGGCTCCGCGCTTCGCCTCCGACCTCGTTGAAAGTTTAAAAATAATCGAACCCTCTTAAACTCACCGTCTAACCTCGATTCGCAGCTTTTCTCCACCCTCTTTCGTTCGCATTCATCTACTTCGTCTTACGTACGAAACGATATCTATTAGAATATAATGATGGAAGAACGGTACGTAGGGAAAATTGTACTCACAATAAGAAATCTTGCTCCCAGCTTGGATTGGCCCCCTTTACGGTGACTGTCGTCGACTTTACATTCTGCAGTTTCAGCGTTACGTACGAATTGAAGTCCTCCGCTGTAATTGTTAACGATAATCGTTCGTTCAATGACGCACCGTCGACTAACGAACGACGTACGAGCGAGTAAACACAGTTGCTACACTTTCACGAGAGAGACTTTGTTTTGCTAAAGGTTACGTGCTCGATAAACGTTCGTCCCGAATTACCTTCGCCCTCGAGGCACCCATCGCTAAACCTCTCTCCTTTTGTTCCGTGCATTCGTAACTACGATAAATACGTTCAAGTACGTTCAAGAATCGAGCTACCTTTTTACTTCCTTATATCTTTTTATTCGGTAGCGAACGCTCGGAAAAGTTTGACTCTTATAACTTTATAACTTTACTTACAACTTCGCCTACTCTCTCTCTCTCTTTCTCTCTCTCTCCCTCTGTCTGAATACAAGAATGTCCATTCTTGTTTTCGTCTGGGAAAGATATACATTCTTCTTTACTGATTTAAGTTCACCTTTAGATCTCCATGTCTTTCACCTTACGTCGTAAAGGGTCTATGGATGATCGGTAAGAAATTAATATACGCGCCCACGCGTATCGTGAATCGAAAAGAATACAAATAAAGTGACCTTTTGACCGTAGAAAAGCCAAAAGTTGACAAAGATTTGATTTCGTTTAGCAGCATTTCTCTTTTTTTTTCCCTTTCCTTTTTTTGCCCCCCCCCCCCCCCCCCCCCCCCCCCCCATTGAAGTTTCTGCCGTCGCAAGCAAGGCGCGTTTCATTGAAAAGCCCGCGCACTTTTTCTCTCTTGACGCTTTCACTTTAGCTCTTTGCATCCTCGAACGCAATTTTTTTCATCTCTCGAATGCGCGTTATGGCAATATCTCATTTGATCCGATTTGAAAAGAACAAAATCAAGTTTACCTTCTTCGCGAATTTATCAGAGAATATCCACTTTCCTCCTTTCTTCGTTTTTTCCCTTTCTCTATCGCATACGTACGCCGTATGTACGCCGATGAAATTAATCTACAAGGGTGATCGAGAAAAATCATTTCTATCCCGTTGAAATTCGTTTTAATTAATTCTTATCTCTAGTCGACTAACGATATATATGGTACTAAGCGATACATAATATAATATTCGACGTACGAGATTGGTCTATGAAGAACGATACGCCAGGCAGGCGTAGAGAATGAAAGTGTGTATTTTTGCGTACTTCGTTTCTTCGAACAGGAAGGAAGAAAGTGCGATAAGTAAAACAAATCCTACACGCAGGAGTGGTTTTATGCGCGATGAAATAATGCTCTCTTTCTCTCTCTCTCTCTCTCTCTCTCTCTCTCAGCTCTCCAGACGCGTACGAGTAGACGCGTTGTTAAAGCTCGAGTTAACGGATGGTAAACACAATATGAGAAAGAAGAATAAAAGGGTATAAAAAGGACTCAAGGTTTGTACGCGTCGATATGGAAAATTGAAAAGCTTCGAAGGAGCCTCGAAGGCGCCTCGAGGGAAATGAAAATCGAACGGCATCGTCGTAAAAGGATATTTTAACAGGCGCAAATAACGCATTTCAAGGCGGATTTTCGAAAATTATAGGAACGGCTCGACTCGGTGCATGCCACCCCGACCGAACAATGATAATTTCTTTTTGTACGAACGTTACGTAGCGATATTCCGGTCGAAAAGTCACATAACCTTTAACTTGGAAACGTTCCAATCCGAACGCAACAAATTTTGCGCGGATCTCAGAATTGGAGCGTAACTAAGAGACTTCTCTTTACGTAGGTATCGATTTCGATTCCAATTCTGTGGGACAATCGTCCGCCGTTACGCTCGATCGGATTCACGTTTGCGTTTCGCTCGTGAAAGTTTAAATGGCAGGAGGAAACGATCCGCCGACAAGTCGGCGGAATCGCTTCTCTGACGTTCCACTCTTCTTCTTTTTTCTTCTTCGCGTCTTTGCTCCCCTCTCCTCCTCTTCTATATACCAGTTGATACGAACCTTCCTCGCAGACGAACCGCGCCTTCTTCACTGCAAACATAAAATGGGACGTTAAATGGTGCCGTACGAAGGAAAATATTAAAAGGCAATGTCTTAATCAGGATTAGATGCCCTCGTAGAGATCGGACTATCGGTGACGGCCATTAAAATCATATAACGCGATTCTATTTCTTACTTCGAAGTTGGAAAAAATGAAACGTCTCTTCCTTCATAAAAGATCTCTTATCTTATATTAATTGTATTATTATCGCGTTCTTTGAGAAGGCAAAAAGGTGTGTCGGTCAAAGAGCTGTTCCGTTCTGATAATAGATTGGACCGACGATGTCGATAAGCCGTTAGCACCGTCTGTTTGCACGAGACGAGATTGATTTGATGGAATTAACGGATTTTATCGAGAAACGGTACCGTTCCGTTCGCTCGATCGCGAATGTAAAACGTGCTAAAAGTCAATGAGATTCGTTCATACGTGAGCCACGTTCACTATTAATCAATTATTATATAGGTATAGGTAGAACCTACAGATTATTAGAATCGAAATGACAGCGTCTCGTTTTTTCGTGCACGTGCATTTACATTTTTCTATATCGATATTTATACTAGACTATCTATACGTCAAAATTATTAAGATAATGCGTAACCTGCATAAACGCAGTCAAAAGATTAAGATCGATAATATTCAAATGAAGTTGTACGGCAGACGACAATGAAAATTATACGACCATTACGTGCTTCGAAGACGATTAATTAGATAATGTCCGATAACGTAACGCAGTCGAACAAAGTGCCACGTTACTGTGTCACCGTACACTTTAATATAATTACAATTATTACGTTGGCCAGTTCCCGTCTTCGGCGTCTCCCAATCGATCTAACGGATGAAAAGAAAAAGAAAAAAAGTAGTTCGAGTCAAAAAGCAGCGACGTCTCGGAGCAAGGATTTGCAAGTTTAGTTTATCGATCGGCATAACATGCGGTACGATATTACGCTTACACCCGACGCAAAACAACCTTCCGTATCTTAGGGCCGAACGCGTTTTACCTTCGTTCACGGAACCAATGGACTTTGTCGAGAACGTTAAGCCGTAGTTCCTCGTATATCCACGCTTTACACGATTTATGTTTGTCGAGCAAGTATCTCCTTTGTTCGTATGTTTATCCGCCGGCACCAAAGGACTTTCTAAATTGATCTTTCGTAACCGCAGACTATGACGATCGATAATAAGTCAGCCAATACAGACTTTAGAAAAAGACGCGAATAAACGGAAGAAACGAGGCGCTAGTTATTTTGTTTTTCCTTCTTTTTCTTTATTTTCTTACTTTTTAATATCCTCTTATTAATGAAAAGGTCACGTTAGCGTGTCACACGTTACGGGAGCAAGCGTACACGTTAAGCCGTTACGCCGTAATCCGATACGATGAAGTTTAATCGTGCGAGCGCGCGTGCCTATCTCTTTAAACGACGACCGACTGCGATCTGAAGCAATGACCTGTGCTAATAAATGCCAGTCGATATATGAGAAAGTCCCCCAACGTGAAAAGGAATAGCTCGGTTCTAAGGTTAAGTGCAAGAGACACGAGAATGGCTTCGCCGCGAGCTTGACTTTATTGCGTGCGTGCGTGCGTGCGTGCGTGCGTGCGTGCGTACGCGTCTATTATCTTACAAGTACGAGCCGAGGAAGATCCGCGTAACGTGATCGCAAAACCGACAAAAGAGTTTGCCTTCGGACCTTACGTTAAAATACATAATTCATCGAATGTAAAATACATTGGCTCTGTGCGTATCGAATAAAAATCGAGTTTGAGCGAATGAAAAATTTGAGATTGCAGCAATTTTTCTCAGCTAGATTCGTTCTCGTTGGAACGGAAAATAAAGGTGATCGTTTCAGTTTTTCTTTCAACGGACGTAAAGACGAAAGCTATCTTCTTGTAAATGGTTGCGACTCGGTCACAGGCGCTGTGTAAATATTTAAAAGGACGACGTACAAACTTGAAGTGGGCGGCCTAAAAACGATGACGTCACTGACCCAGACTCGAGTTAAAGTAACAATCATCCCGAAAGAAGCGTAACTCGGTCCTGCTGGCAACGCAAATATGTATTTTGCACTTCTATTCGAACGGACCAAAGGACCGAAGGAGAAAGAGCGACCGAGAGAGAGGGAAAGAGAGAGCCAACAGGTGAACGCGACTTCATTATCCGTGCTCTTTACAAATTAATTACGCTCAGTCGCTTAAAAATAATTGGAATTTGCGCGGGAGCAGCTATGTGTTTACGAGGAGCCGTTCAATATCTATGGCCTTGGCAATGGGCCAGTCGCGTTGTAAACTCAATATGCAAGGAGAGAATCACGAGCTAAGAAAAAATTTCGTCACTGTTTTAACGTCTCGATCGTTTTGCAGCCGACGGTCAAGAAATCGAAAGAGAGACGCGTCGTTCCACGATCGATCCAGCGATGCTAGGTGAACGTGTCGTTTTTTTGTCCAATAGAAATCAACGAACTCGATAAATGACTTTGGAAAGTGTTTCTTGAAAATATCAAGTACACAAAGATAACGACGAGAGAGATGTCGTCGAATATCGAGACAAAAGGGACCGCCATGCGAATAGGAATTGAAAACCAAAAGGTAGTGGTGACGTCGACGGTACTTGCGTCTCCGAATAGAGAAGAAAAAACGTGGATGGACTCGAAAAGAAATAATACGATGGAAGAACGAGAATACTTTGCGAGAGTATACATTTTGAAATTCGCGAGAACGCGTTGCATAAATAAATGGGCGTCATCTAGACTAGAGAGGAGGTGGTGGTGGTGAAAAACAAAAAAAAAAAAAAGGAACATAACAACGATGTCAGCCTTAACGCTTCAGTTACGTTCCCTTACTTTCGAACAAGTCGAGACAATGGACGTCTACGTGTGAATACGAGCTGAGAAGTTCTTGTCCTTGCATGTGCCATACCACCGTACACGCTTCTGCATTGTACCATGTTTCTCCACGTTTTTACGCGAATGTATGCTTATGTGCATGTAACCGAGAACAATCTCTCTCTCTCTCTCTCTCTCTCTCTCTCTCTCTCTCTCTCTCTTTCGTGCTTCTGTGAGAGAAGGGAAGGGATTCACTTTCCACTCTCGAGTTTTCCTCCGGTAGCGTTTTAGCCAAGGGTGAGAAAACGAGAGAAAGAGAGAAGGAGAGAAAATTGACGTTATGGAAGAGTCGAGAATATGAGAGAGCGAAGGAGAATCGAGAAACCGGCACTACTGCCATATACGTTCGACGTTATTTATAGCGAAGCTATATTAAAGGTAATATTTACGCGACAAGCTGTAAGCACGATATCTTATCCAGGCATCGTAGCTCCTCGCAGGATTCTCCTCGCAGGATCTGCGAAGAAACCGCCTTTTATGATCTAAGCGCGCGCACGTACATGAAAATAAGAAAGAAAGAAAGAAAGTATACCGTCGGTTTATCTTTGAAGAAAAAATCCAAATAGGATTACAAGTAATATTATTAATTATGACGGAATCATTTCGACGTCTTTTTTACATTTTGCTGCAATTTCCCTCGGTGTTATTCGCAAAGTATCCTGTCCATTAGAAGCAAGCTAGATCATCGCAAGCTGGTTTCTTGCAACGTTACAAGCAATTTGGGCTAATTAGTCTGGTGTAAATTCGGTCTCCGTTATGGATAATCGATGGGAGAAACTCCGGAACGCTTCTACACCTTCGACGACGAAACTGTTCATCGTTAGCAGTGATAAATTAAAACGTATGATTATTATGATTGTGATACAGGGTTTAGGGATTAAACCTTACGAAATTCTATCGTGCTTTCGCGGAGACTTATTATGTCAGCGAAGACTCTTCGTGTCACGAAGAAAGAATAACGCGTTCGCGTGTATGTACGTAACCATGTGGACCGGAGAAAGATAAGATAAGACCATCGAACGTGCTATTTTTTACGACTACGTCACGACGAACATATGGTATTATCAATAAGGGTCGCTAAGAAAAAGAAATGGAGGAAGTCGCGATGGATCAACAATGTCAAACGAGCTAATAACATAGAATATTAATGAACGAAGAGATCGAATATTCGCTTTCCACGGAAATGAAGGAACGCGGCCTAGTCTGTTCGTCGGTGCGAGAGTTGGCTCGAAATCACGTATTTCCCCAAAGGTGAATCCTTTAGATCTAAGGGATAAGATGTCTCAGCCTAAGGCCGAACGAAGTTCCCATGGGAACCTTGCTCGGTGAATAAACAAAGGGTCAACGATCTCGAACGTAATCGAGGAGTATTGCGATTTAAAAAGAAAAAATGAAAAAGTAGATGTTCCTTTCGTAAACGATTGCAAATTACCGTTCGGTAATTGCGAGATGTAATTGCGAGATCTCGCGTTAACCCACCGAGTCCGGATTTCGAACTGGGCTAAAGTTGAAAGTACTTTGCCGTTTCTTTTTCGCTGATACGCTCTTGATACGCTACGCCAAAATTCTCGTTTACGAGAATTTAATGAGACATAAAAATTGGTAAAATACTTTTACAGGATAGGGCCTTGGTAAAAAGCATCGTGTTTCACGGTATATAACTAGGAAATGAATAGGAGGCAGTACTCTACGGCGTAAACGAGGAGGAGCGTTTTCGAATAAATAAATCACGACATGGTGTCGTGTACGTGAGTAGATAGAAGAATGAAACGATAAATTTAAAGGTAAAAAGGTACGTTAACTGCGACACGAAAAATTGACACGATACGCGAGGACGGCTGTCACGAATCGTCAACGCCATTTCATCCGGTCAATTAGTTGAGCCGATTGTGATCGGGGAACGATCTAATTATTGCGTAACGTTCTAATTATATATCCATGTAGGACGGTCGATAAAAATATATCTCGGCGAATAGGATTGGAGGTTTAATTGCAGACCTTATATATCGAGATATTCCCGATTAAAGACGTGTTCGACATAGAGGGAAAGCCGTTTCCTGCGGAACGAAGGAGAGTCGCTTCCTCCCGAGCAGGTCTCCGTCGTACCTTATAT